GAAGAATTTAAATTTCCAAAGGGAGGGGGGCCCAAACGAAAAAAAAGGGGAAAAAAAAATTGGGGGGGAAAAAAAACCTTTAAACTGAAGAGCGAGGAGCAGAACCTTAAATCTGCCAGAAGAGCGAGGAGCAGAACCTTAAATCTGCCAGAAGAGCTAGGAGCAGAACCTTAAATCTGCCAGAAGAGCGAGGAGCAGAACCTTAAATCTGCCAGAAACGTAAGGAGCAGAACCTTAAGTCTCTCTCGACACCTGAAGCAGTAAAAGAGGAAATGAAAAAGAAGAATGGCTAGCTGCTGGCCCGAAAGTTTCACAGAGCTGTGAAGTAAACCCACAACCTTCAGAGCCCAAGGCAAATGGCATGACCATTTTGCAACAGAAACTACCGGAACATAGCATATAGTTCTTTAGATGTGACTTTTTTTCATTTATCTTATTTGGTAGAGAAGTCTTTGTTCATTGGCCATTTTTATACAAATACTCCTGAGAAGGCTAACTTGGGCAACAGATGTCCAGATAAGTCAGATGTGTCAGTTGAAAGGATCAAATATCACAGGAATGTTGTAAACAGGCACTGTGCTTTTACATCCTCTAAAAAACACAGGAAGTTGAATGTTGAATTAAGAATCGGCATCACAGCACTCGGGACATCCCCTATAATCGCTCCATCCCCATCTTCAGCAGCAAGCGAAGAGTTAAAATTTCGATGGTACCAGTAACTCTTGATTGTATATTCGTCTCACCTTTTCCCTAGATGTCGAGCATCGGCCATATCCCCTTGTAACTCCTCGCAGTGCCATTCTCCTCAGGCTGTAATCATCTGTTTGTGCCTCGGCACTGTTCACTCACCGTCAAAGGGCCCTCACAGCATCCAGCTTGTCATTCCCAAACTGTGCGCCACGGCTTCCCGGGGAGCCATGATCTCTTCACAGGGGCACCACAGAATATTTGAAGATACACAGATTTAAAAAAAAAATCTCTTACATAGGAATAGTCGTACTTTTACTTAGGTTAGGGCACTGTAGAAACATCTAATTGAAAAAAGGCGCTGCGGCTAAGAAATGTTTGGGAAACACTGTAGTACACTATAAGATGAATTAAAAGAACAAGCAGTAACAGTAAGAGTTTCTCCACTAGTAGTTTTTGACTATTTGGCCCCTCTAGGAAAAAAATAATATTTTGCTTGACATCCTTGACAACATTAACTTTAAGTTTTAGCTGTCAGTGTCTGTGGTTTAGGGCACAGTTTATAATTCTGAAATACCCGGTTCGATTCGGCCAGCAAACTGCTTGTGTTAATGTCGACAATGGTATGGAGTGCCGATCGTTCAGTAAGCAGTGGCAAACTACTGAACATAAAATTGGCTTGTAAAACTACAAGCATCCAATAAATGCTGGGTTTGTTTGTGACACCCTTTAAAGAATGTGCAGCTAACTATTTTTTGTGGTTTTCTTTTTCTCCAGCTGATTTTATGGAAGTCAAGCCCACAATGACCCGTAAGCTACGGAGGAGACCAAATGATCCAGTACCCATACCTGAGAAGAGACGGAAACCCTCGCCTGATATCCTTTGTTCAAAGTTACAAGCTCTTTGCTTAGAGTTAAAAGTTTTTTGCTTAGAGTTAAAAGTTTTTTGCTTAGAGTTAAAAGTTTTTTGCTTAGAGTTAAAAGTTTTTTACTCAGAGTTTAAAGTTCTTTACTCAGAGTTTAAAGTTCAGAGTATAAAGTTCCTTACTCAGAGTTTATTTAAAGTTCCTTACTCAGAGTTTATTTAAAGTTCTTTACTCAGAGTTTAAAGTTCTTTACTCAGAGTTTAAAGTTCTTTACTCAGAGTTTAAGGTTCTTTACTCAGAGTTTTTAAAGTTCTTCACTCAGTTTAAAGTCTTTACTTAGTTTGAAGTTCTTTACTCAGTTTAAAGCTCTTTACTCAGTTTAAAGCTCTTTGCTCAGAGTGTAAAACTCTTTACTCAGTTTAAGGTTCTTTACTCAGAGTTTTTAAAGTTCTTTACTTAGAGTTAAAAGTTCTTGGGTTCGTTTTATTGGGGTGCCATTCAGTTCCCAAATGCAATTTTTGTGGAGATCCCCAGTGGATCGTCGCTGGAGCTATGGAGGTCATGCTCTGTGCGATACTCTCTGCAGGCAGCTAGCTATTCTGCGGAGTGAGACTGAGCTATATATACACGATAAAACCCGGTGCATTGAAGTCGATCCTGTCAACTTCACCTTCGCCCTATAAAGGAACTTAGTTGAATAGCTCTGTTCTATTACAGTATTCAACTGAAGGTTGAGGTTTGAATAATGGATCAACATCATGGCACACGGGTAGGAACCCATAAGTGCTCCGTTCTTTTTCTAACTCAAGTCTGAGTCTGAAGAAGCTCAGCACAGTGCACAGGCTGTGTAGCACCGGCGAGGATCCTGAAATACTTTGGTTAGATTTTAAATTCAAAATTTTGCCCGGACAGCGCCGTTAGGCTACTCTTTTTGATTTCCAACTGCCAAGGGATTTTTTTTTAATGTGCAGAACAATGCACACGGGCGTCTGATCTCACTACCCATAAACCAGAGTTGGAATTACTAGAAGTCCATTACCAATTAAAAAAATCCCAGCCCTTACCGGGGATTGAACCGGGAACCTCCAGCACTCGAGGCGGACACCATGCCTCGAGACCATGCCCCCCCCCCCCCCCCCCCCCAGTAGTATGCAACTATAAATACTTGTGGCTCCTGTTGTGAGCTGTTTGGCTACGTGCAAGTTACATTTTTAATTATTTGTTTTCTTTAACCGTGATCACCTCAGGTTAATTTACTCTTGGAAGATGATCAGATACTGGATGACCTCCACGTCATGCTGAAGGTCAGCGGGAAGCCGCTTGCAAAAAAGCAGTTTTTGTCTCAACAGAACCTGCAGAGTGAGCCGTCTTCAGATGTTAGAATTGAAGATGGTCGACTGTGGTATGACAAAAAATGGTAAGGGCTGAATACACGAAAAGAAAAAGTTTCCGTCACTTAATGAAGATTAAACCAGGGTCTCCCACCTGAGAATCCAGTACCCAAAATACTTGAACAGCTGTTTCTCTGATATAAATAAATCATAATTGTTCTTCTTTTTTTCTCTGTCCTCCTCTTTCTGTTTCTGTTTTGTATTTCTGTAGTGGTACTACATTCTAGCCTTTTTCTCCTCCTCCTCCTTCTTCTTTTTCTCCTCCTCCTTCTTCTCCTCCTCCTTCTCAATCTTCTTCTTCTCCTCCTCCTCCATTGCTTCTTTTTCTTCTTCATCATTCTGGCTTGGTCTCTCTCTACAAAGCAACTGTTCCACAAGTCAAGACAGTCACACAAAGCATGAATTCAGTAGCTCTGACAGTGACCTTCATGACTTCCAAAAACATTACGCTTGTGAACCAAATGGCACTCATGAAAATCTTTAGAACTCAAGGCAGACAGCGAAAATATGAACTTGCAAGGTCTTCATCACAGAACTTTTTATAACAAAGCGAATCATTTGTATTCGAGGTTAAGAGATCTGGAGGACATGGTTTTCTCTCAAACAGTGAAGTATGTTCGGCATGTCCATGCGCAGCAGTCAGGCATCACCCTACATGACAATGATGTGCTGGATATTGCTGTCAGCTTTGATGGCACTTGGCCACACATCGCACATTGGGGTTGGCTGTGCAGTGGATGTCCTTACTGGACTTTGCATAGATGTGCATGTTATGTCGACTTATTGTCAGGTGTGTGAGACCTCTGGTAAGACACTTGCCAGAGACAATCCAGATGAATATGAATCATGGAAGTCAGACCACCTTCCAAACTGTGATAACAATTTCACAGGATCTGCAGGTATGATGGAGGTGGAGGCTGCACGAGTGCTTTGGCAGCGGTCTGTGGCAGTGGTCTGTGGCAGCGGTCTGTGGCAGCGGTCTGTGGCAGCGGTCTGTGGCAGCGGTCTGTGGCCCGTCATAAGCTTCGCTACACATCGATACTGTCTGATGGTGATGCGAAAACATTTATCAAAATAAAACCTTATGGGGGACGACATTCACATAGAAAAAGAAGAATGTATCAACCATGTTGTTGCTGACTGCCGAAAGCAAGGTGTGACCCTAGGTGGACGTGGTAAAGGTCAGCTTACACAGAATGCCCCATCCGTAAGCTGACAATTTATTACAATAGAGCCATAAGGAACAACACAAGTGTAGAGTCCATGAGGAACAGTGTTATTCCTTCACTGCATCACTGTTTTTCAACAGACAAAACTCCACGCCATGAAATGTGCCCAAGTGGAGAGCAGTCTTGGTACTTTTTCCAATCTTCCCTGGCTAGGCATCAGATCCCGGGTCCTCATGACAAGATGTTACATACATGGCTCAACTGTGATAAGCTACAGAAATATCTATTGCCAATTTATGAAAGGTTGTCTGATCCTAAACTACTAATACTAAGTAGGTGTGTTTCAGGAAAAACTCAGAATTCTAATGAGTGTTTGCACAGTCTGATCTGTGCTCGCTGTACTAAAGACAACTTTGCCTCACGCAAGCGCGTTCAGTTTGCAGTTGTAACCACTGCAAGAGAGTTTAACTTTGGTGCTGCTGCAGCCCATGACACTGCACAGTTTTTTGGATTTTCTCCAGGCCTGCATATGAAAAGACTAGGAGCATCTAGGATTCAAAAGAGAGTTAGAAATAGCTTGAAATCTAAAAACGACAAGCAAACAAAGAGACGGGACACTGTGCGAGTGGCCAGACTGAAGAGGCAGGAAGAACTGCAGGCCCTAGAGGGTGGTCCTGCATATGGAGCAGGATTGTTCTGATGATCTGATGGTAACACACTGTCAGAAACTGTGTTTGTGTGTAAAATACATAGTTTAAACATTAAAGTAACTTTATTAGCATAAGAAACATGAAAATAATTCTGTTTTCGCTGTTTTCTGATTTTCCCTTTTTTTTTTAACTCTTAAGCAAATTTTCTCAAAAACTTTTTGTCAGATTGTAATGGAATTTCACAGACTTATTTATTATTGTATTACTTCCATACTGACAACAGCATTTGATAAACTAAGACTTAGTGTTTTTGCAGCAGTCAGAAAACCACAAAAATTGTCAATAAAAAAGCTGTTACAATTTTAAAAAATTGCTAACGATAACCGAAGGGTTGCGATATCCATAATACCGAGCCTGAGGGTTAACAACTCATGGCTTCTGGATACTAAAAATAAAAATTCCCTATTGAATCACAGGCCCTCAACCAACTCACCCCACGTTGTCCTTTCCTTTGCCATTGCATGCAGTTCAACCCATGTCCTTCCCATCGAAATTCATTCTCCAGTCACTTTCTCCATAACTTTTTACTTTTTTAAATTTTATTTTAAATGTCCCTATCTTTGTTAACTAAGATTTTTGTGTAACTTTTTCCCCCCTGACAAATGTTTAGTTGGATGGTTGTTTTTATGGCATATCATTTAACGAGTCTTTTACAGAATGTTGCTCCCATTCCAGCATGTCTGGAATCATCTTAGTCCCTCACTGGCTTCCCCGCCTTGTGCCCTTTCCTGCCCAGTGTGTCTTTTATGTTCTGTGCCCATCTTCATGCTTGTCACCTCTGCCCATCTTGCCTGGGTACCACATCCTCTGCTGCTCTTCTTTCCAATCCAGCATTTCACCTGATTTGGCAAAAGTATTTCACTTTTTGAGATAAGATGCTGTTTATGAGCCAATCTTCCTTGATTTTCAGCTCCTCTAAAACATCAGTATTTCTTATTGTTTATTGTCGACAGTAGTCTGAGAATCTACCTGTAGCATTTCAGCTCTAAAACCAGTATTTTCTGTCTTAATAATTGCAAGACAGTCTATGACTTACATCTGAATGTTTCTACAAAAATGTTGAATTTGATTTGCTTGCTGGTGTTAAGCATTGCTGTGACCATCCTCTTTTTTCAACATCTGTTGAACAGTCTCCATTTTTGTTGATTGTAGAGCCTAGAAATTCGGTTTGTGTGGCCATTGTATTAAAAAAAAAATTAGATGAGGTAGCCAACCTCAAGCCAAATCCTACCCTCATTCACCTCCTGTGCCATGACTGGTATGGTGCAGTGTTACCAGTCTTTGCTTTCCCATTATGGGCCTTGGATAACATACTGATGATTTCTCCAATACCTCGACTGTTGCAGGTAGGCGCAAGGTGCTGCAGGTGAAGTCATATCTTAGGGTAGCTGCAGACACAGACCACCCTTTGCATGAAGCTCTGGGTGCAGTTAAGGGTCAGCGGCTGATAAGAGGGAAGTTATGGATGGCTAAGGCAGAAGACACAATCAGACAGGTTTGCATCCTCGAGAACATTAGGAGAGGAGTGGGTCAAAGTGCCACCTGAACAGTCAGACTTGTGTAGGATCATAATCACACTGAGCCAGGAATGCAGAGACTGGCCAGCAGGTTCCACAGAGATAGAAATTCGGCAATTAATTCAAGATAATGCTCGCTCAGAGGATTTGATCATTTACACAGACGGTTCAGTGTCAAGAGGCAAAAGAAGTGCTTGGGGCTTCTTAGCAAAAGTTAAAGGTCGACGTTTAGTGCAGGAGAGCCTAGCATATGATACCACAACATCCAGTTTAAGAATGGAGGTGGAGGCGGTCACTGCAGCTTTCCGCTGACTAGAGAACACGACACACACGCACACACACATTGTGATTGTAACTGACTCAGAAAGCATGCTGGGGAAGATTAGGACAGGCATGCTTTGTGCAGAGTGGCATGCCTCGCTGTGGAGGACACGGGTGAGGAGTATTGTCTGGATTTTTTCACCAGGAAACGCCGGTGTGTTGGGAAATGAACAGGCGGGCAGACTGGCTGGCTCTGCACAACTTGGTGGAATACTGATACATGATTAGGCAGACGTAGTTAGTGCCTTGTGGGAGAGCGTGTACAGTTCGGAGGAGCAGATGGATCACCACAGTCTGGTGAGAATGATGCATGGGGAGTGACGAGAGGTTCCGGCAGATGCTCGAGGCTCAGAGGAAAGGCAAGATGGACGTTCAATCAGAATGCTACTGGCATCATTAGTATCAGAACTCTTTCCTGGCTGTTGAAGATGGGGACGGAGCGCTTATGGCAATGCCCCGAGTGCTGTGATGTCGGTTCTTGAATCAGATCAAATCTCCAATACCTAACTTGTATCATCCTATGCCAGCTTGTACAGAGTAATATCAGTAATTTATTTTGGCCAGGTTTCAGAGAAATTCAATGGTTCAAGTGGACAGCAAAGAAGGTGCGCCTAGGATATATGGCACAATTACCAATATTGGCAACCAGGAGGTGAGTTGAAATTGTTTAATCAAATATCTGAGTTGAATTCATTGTCATTGTGGGCTTTGTGTAGGTATGTGCATAGGAAATTGCCTAATGTTTTTTGTTTTTGTTTTTAAATGCATCTCAGTTTTTTGTTACTGGATCAGATTTACTGTTTCAGGAGGAAGAAAAATGGGAGGAGGAAGAGAAGGAGCAGAAGTAGAAAAAGGAAGGAGAAATAGAAGGAGCATCAGGTGTAGCAAGAATTGAAGAAAGGAAGGAGAAAAGCAAGAGTAAAACCAAAAACAAGCTAAAAGACAACAAAAAGCAACCAAAAAAAAAAAAAGGGGGGAAGAGGAGGTTTATCAGGTACAAAAAGAAAAGTGTTGAGTTGTGTAGGACCAATATTATAGGACTTGTGACATTACCTTAAGCACTCCATCACCATCTTCAGCAGCCAGTGCAGATAGTGCAGTTTTGGTGATATCAGTAGCAGTTTGATTGTATATTGAGTAGAAGAAGAAGAAAACAACACTGAGTAAGAGAGCATGATACCCATGTGGGTCCAAGGGCTTCCCTAGCAATTATGTAAATAACTGTGTAGAGGTGTTTCCTTTGAAGTCGAAGTACATCTACATGAGAGGTGAAGAAACAACAGTCTGCATACGGACAAAAAAACAAAGCCGGATCTTTAAAATGGATGTGCACACAAAACTCAAGTTCTAGAACAAACCTAAAATCTAGATGTGGATGACCAGCCAGATCCCCCACCCCTCCCCCCCCCCCCCCTCCTAGAGGTGACAGAGTTTTCCTGTTTGGGGTAAAATTAAACAACTTTACCTGTACAGTCCGTGGTGACATCACCAGCCACGCTGCTCTCCCCTAAAATAGTGGTAAAACAAGTAGTAGTGATAGTTTAGAAAGCAAAGAAGAAGGAGAATGGAGTATTTGTCTTGAAAACTGCCCATCATTCAACCTATTGTATTTTGATTTCTTTCAGATTTGGCTCAAACGAAGTGGAGACAACTCTAAACTGAGGATTTATTTATCACAGTTACAGAAAGGAAAGTACATTATAAAGAAAAGGACTATGTAATGACTCCAACACAAGCCACGGGTCAGCACTGAGCAGTGAACCCACTGCCTTGCCAACACTGCCAGTACTTTCAGTCAGTCCACTGCACTGCCAACACTGTCGGTCTCAGACTGCAGTTCATCCAGTATATCTCTTATTGTTATCCGCCCATTTCTTTTGCTGTCTGCCTCTTGCTCGCTTGCCTTACATTTTTCCTTCCAATATGGTTTCATTAGAGGTTATGCCTTTTAATATGGCCAAAATATTTTATTTGCCTCTTTTTTTTTTAATTTAATTTTTTTATTTCTAAGCTCTTTGTAGTCTTTGAATTTGATTGTTTTTGTTTCCCTCTGGTGGGAATTTAATTTTTAGCAGTGGATTGTTTTTGTTATCTCTGAGGCTTTTGGCTCAGCCTAGTTTTGTAAAATGAATACTAGAGGTGTGTCAGAAAGCTAAGGCAGTGAGAAAGAGAGTTGATCTCCTCACATTATAATATTGCGAGTATTTAAAACACCTAAAACTTTACACTCCTACAATATTTTCTACAGAAAAATTATCTTCTTGTTATAAATTCTTAAGGAGGAGTTATTTTGTTGTTGTTCTTTCCTGTATATCATGGCTATTTAACTAAGTTTATTTTCTCTGTGTAATGCCGGTGGGTTGGGAAATGAGCAGGCAGATTGGTTGGCCGGTTCTGCCCCACTTGGATGGTGAATTGATGTAAGACAAGCTAGATGCTGTGAAGGCCCTTTGGAAGCGAGTGAACAGTGCGGAGACACAAATAGATCATTATGGTTTGAGGAGAATAGCGCTGTTGGAAGTTACATAGGAATCTGGATGAGGCTCACCGCTCAAGAGAAGGACGCGACGGATGTAGTCAGACAGTTAAGGGTGCCTTCGGAAATGGAGCTCTTGGTTTGCTAATGAAGATTGGGATGGAGTGCTTGTGGGAGTGTTCCGAGTGCTGTGATGTCGATTTTTAAGTCAGTATTCAACTTAGTTTGTTCAGAGGTCAGAATGTTGAAATGGGGATTGTCACGGTTCAGAGGTCTGAGCCCCAGCGGAGAAAGATCATTGATATGACACAGCTGGCAGTGATCCGCGAGCCACTTGCTAGGCCTCCATGGGCCACCAGTTGAACAGCCCTGCTTTACATGCAGTTTAAAAAAAAAATAGTTTTACTGTTTTAACTTGTAGAATTAGGAATCAACATCACAGCACTCGGGACACTCCCATAAGTGCTCCGTCACCCCATCTTCTGCAGCAAGTGAAGAATTCCAATTCCTATGGCACTAGTAACCCTTTGATTTAAATTCCAGGTACCTCAGTTTGCTTTACTTAACTTTGCTTAACTTTACTTAAGTTTGCTTTACTGTTTTAACTGCAGCTGTTTAACCCCCCCCCACTACATGTCATAGCTAGAATATATGACATGTAAGAAAGTGTTTCTTACTTTACAAGGCTTCTTTTTCTTCTGCCTTTCTAACTTTAAATAAGACATAGGGCCTCAACCCACTGACGCCAAGTTGTTCTTCAATCCTTTGCTATTGCATGCATCTCTCCCCATGTCCTCCCTATCTTTTTAACTTCACTCTCTAGCTCCCTTCTCCATGTGTTGTTTTGGTCTTCCTTTATTTCTATGCCCCTGTGGGTTCCGGTGCAAAGACGTTCTTGTTATATTGTTCTGTCGAGTTAATAACTGAGTATACAAGGCACTTGGTCATACAAGTTTTTTAAAAACCCTGTCTAGAAACAAAAAGCAGGAAAAAGTTTAAACTAGACTCTAGACATTCAAAGCTTCTCATATTTTGCACCTTTCCTGACCGATCTTCATAGTTTCTCAGTCTGATCTAGGTCAGAGGGGTGTCATGTTGTACTGCTTTCTTGTGACCTAGGCTCAGGCTGTGTGCAGGGGGGTTTGGGTTAGGACCAGTTTTAGATGTTCTGGGGTCATTGAAAGCCGTGTAGTATAGAACACGCAAATCAGCACTGATATAATCGGAGGAAAGACAACGTGGCAGCCACATAGAGGAGTCTGAGAAAGTATGAATGAAAGGTCTTCCAGTGGATAAATAGGCCAGGAAACGTGAACAGAACCCTTCTTCTTTTCAATCGTCTGAGTCACGTAACTGCATTTTGCCTTTTTACAGCATAACTGCAATATATGCCCTTTTTGGCCGACATATCCGACTTCATTGCGCATTTGTTGACCGGGTTAACTTCCCGCGAAGTATGTGTTCTGAGTTTCCCAGTATACAAGGCAATTAGTTGTGAGTTTTTTACTTTCATTTTTTTTTTATATTTTTATTTTTATTTTTTATTTTTGAAACGTTGCCTGTGAAAAAAAAGAAGGGGGGACAATTTGAAACTAGACACATTCAAAGCTCCTCATATTTGCACTGAATATGTAAAGTATGCATTCTGTAAGAGTGTCATCTAAGACGTCGTCTCTGGTCTAAATAATTGTTTTTATTTTTTATTTTTGAAACCCTGTCTGTGAAAAAAAAGGGGGGACAATTTGAAACTAGACACATTCAAAGCTCCTCATATTTGCACTGAATATGTAAAGTATGCATTCTGTAAGAGTGTCATCTAACACGTCGTCTCTGGTCTAAATAATTGTTAGTGTGAGTGAATGTGCCTTAAATGTCCAAACATTCTTATCTGGAATATCCTAAATTATTGATTATTATTTGAACGAATTTTTCTTTTTCTTCATGTCCTCTTTTACCGCTTTGAGTGTCGAAGGAGATATAAGGTTCTGCATTTTGCTCTTCTTGCTGCCTTGACCATTAACATAAATTGCTATTGTAGAGTTTCTCTGATATTATCTTTCCATCTTGTTCTTGGTCCACCTTGTGCTCTACATCCTTCTTCTCTTGTGTTATGCCTTGTAAGATACAGTGTCACAAGGCATTCTCTCTAAGTGTGCAATCCTTTTGATTTGCTGTATGTGTTTGTAATGGAGACTGTTTGACAGAAATTAAAAGAAGGATGGCCTTAGCAATGCAAAGATTGAACAGCCTTAAAAGTCTATGGTTAAGCACCAGCAAGGAGATCAAAATTAGAATTTTGAGAGCATGCATCTTCCCTGTGGCTACATACGGATGTGAGTGGTGGACTGTCTCCCAGTCCTTGAGAAAGAGAATAGGGGCTTTTGAGCTGAAATGTTATAGAAAGATTCTCAGAATATCTTGGACAAAGAAGAGAAATATTGACATCTTAAAAGATCTGAACATCAAGAAAGATTGGCTAATAAACAGCATCCTGTCTCGAAAGCTGAAATATTTTGGTCATATCAAGCACCTCGACGGATTGGAAAAAATTATAGCAGAATGCATGGTACCAGGAAGGAGGGGCAGGGGCCGACCGACACGAAGATGGGCACAGGATATAGGTGACTCCTTGAATGTGAAAATGCATGAGGCAGGGGGACTGGTGAAAGACTGTTTCTTTTAGGCAGACGTTCTGCAAAGGACCTGCTACATGATGATGATGATGTTTGTAATTTAGAATTGATTTAGTGCTGACATTTTCTTTTATGATGTCATATCTGACTTTGATCTCTCCAGGTCGCTCCTACAGCCCTTTTCTGACATCTCATTTCCATGGTTACTAACTTTCTTCTCTGGTTCGCTGTGAGTGACCATAACTGGCACTGATAGCATAGGGCAGGAGTGAATGTGCTTGGTTTGAGATGTTTGTTTGTTTTGGTGGGCGGCTGGCTGTCCCAACACAAATGAATTAATGTTGACACAAACATTTCTCAGCTGGGATGTCATTCCTCTTCTCTTGAATGACAGTTGGAATGATTGAATGTGCCTTAAATGACACACACTTGTCTCTTCTGGAATATAATTTCTTACGATTTGACTAAATTTGAATGAATGGATGTGCCTTTGATGTCGGAGTGTGTCTGCCTGAGAGGCAAGGAACCAACAGTCTGCATAAAGTACATATAAGCCAGGTCTATAAAATAGATATGTTTGCAAAACTCAAGTTCTAGAACAAGACTAAAATCCAGAAGTGGATGAATTACTGGAACTTTGTACTGGAGTTTACAGCTGGTGAACATATCACAACGTCTAGTTTGAGAATGGAGGTGGAGGCAGTCTCTGCTGGCTTGAGAATCAGCTGTGCACACATGCTGTGATTGTAACTGACTCACAGAGCATGTAGAGAAAGGTGAAAACAGGCATGCTTCGTCCAGAATGGCAAGCATGACTTCAAAGGTCCTGGTTAGTTAGGAAAGGAGCAGACAGATAGACTGGCTGGCTCTGCACCACTTGGTGGTGAATTGATTTACGACAAGTTAGATATTGTGAGGGCCCTTTGGAAACTGGTGAACAGTGAGGAGGCGCAGATAGATCATTACGGTCTAAGGAGAATGGCGCTGCGAGGAGTTACCAGGGGATCTGGCCGACGCTCAAAACTCAGGGGAAGGATGAGATGTTTATACAGTCAGATGGTTACTGGCACCATTGAAATTGGAACTCTTCGCTTGCTGCTGAAGATGGGGACTGAGCTCTTATGGGAGTGTCCCGAGTGCTGTGATGTCGATTCTTAATTCAACATTTAGCCAGTGAACATGAAGATAACAATCACATGGAAGGATAAACAGGCAGTGCCTCCGATCAAGCACTTGACTACCGACTCCTTCCCATTAAAGCTTGACTGCAAAGAATGAAATATAAGGAGTGAAGACCTTTTTCTGTGAACATATTGGTGTCATTTTTGTACGTGTGATATGTGATAGAGACTTTTCTGATTGATGCAGTGGAATCAGTTTGCAAATGTGATATTTCTGATTGATGTGGTGAATATGCCTTTGAGAATGTAACAGAGATAATTGTATTTTTTAATTGATTAGTAGGGAGTATTTTGAATGTGATATAACATTTTTTTGGTGGTGTTAATACATTTTTTGGTGGTGTTAAGAAAATTTTTTTTGGTGGTGCAGACAAAATAAAGAAATTTTATGAGACAGTTTGGTGAATGGCCTAAAACTTTTTGATGTTTGT